TAGGAGACGGGATTAAAAATGCCAATTATCGACATTTTTAATTTCAAGTTCTACTCGGTCCGAGAAATTTATAGCCGATCACTTTGCAACTGTTACGAAAAAGCAGCAATTTTATTAGCCACACACAGCTCAGACCGAGATTTTGGATCGAATTCTAGCGTCGTCAACACCATGGGGCTTTACTGACAATCTAACAGACGTTTGGCAGCGATCTCTCTCGAAAAAGCCTACAACTATTTCTACACGACATACTGCTCTTTTTCTCTTCTTCTAGACTTGCGTTTATTAGAAGTAATCTTTTTTTCTAGGCTATTAATCTTAGTTCTAATTGCACGATGTGTTCTTATATGGTGTCCCTAGGATATGCTGGTCTAATTTTGTGTGTATTTATTGTAGAATTCTTGTATCAAATAAATATTGTCGTCAAGTGCACCAAAAATTAGTAAAAATTTTTTTTGGTTTTCGACATAAAGTCGATCAGCATAGTCTAGATTTTACCGCGTGCTTTAATTCCGTAAAAGAGTTTTGCATATCTATAAAGCCAATTAAAAGATTACTTCTAACAAAGAATGTCGATAAAACAGACGGCTTTAGGATCCCCTCACTGAGAAAAGAAAGTTGTTAAAAACAGTTAGCCCACTTGGGATCTTTCGTAGAAAATTCAAACGTTACGCAGGATATGACATAGGATAAATTTAGATGCTGTTTTTTAATATATTTTGACTTTTGCTTCTGGCTTCTCTGCCGACTGAATTATTATTTTCTTTGGAATCGATATTTACGCGTGCGACCGCCGGAAATTTAAGTCCGCCGGAGGATATTCGGCGACGGGGAAGTCCGTTGATGTACATCAACGGTTTGTCTCGTCGTGTCGGTTCGTTTCTCATGATCAGCGTGGACATACGCGGGCTCGCAACGTTGTTCTCTTATTTTCCCCGAGTGTCCCGCGGTAACCGGCAGCAACATTGTTTTTCTCTTGCTCTGCTCTTCCCCTCTCGCGCTCCGCTTCTCCTGCTCTTTCGCCATCTATCTGACGACTAGCTTTTGGGATTCCTTTTTTAATACTCGGACACACCGAGGACCTTTTACCACGGACACGTAGGGGCCCTCTTGTAATGACCGCAACGCTCCAATGCACTCGGCGTCCGGAGCTGCATAACCGGATGCTGCAGCGGACGCGTAGGATGCATCTTGCAGCCTCTATCGTTCGCTGAATCTCGTTGACATTTCATTCTCGATTTCTTCATTGCAGGCATAATGATTGGAAAGATATCGATCGTGTTTTCTCGTTAGAAATAATAAATAGCAAATAAACGTATTTAGAACTGTAACGTAAAATTACGCCTAGGATATAATGACCGCGGCGAAATGTAAATTGTACGTAATTTTAGCTTTACAGTTTCGATTATATTTCTCTACGATCAAGTTGCAACTTAATCTATCGCGGTATTTACTTGCGAAATCTGACAATTGATATTCGGTGGTGGTAATAGCCGTCCCTTCCTTCGACTGATGTATGTGGAAATTTGTAAGCGTTTGCCCCGAACCATTGGTTCGCCTCTCCCGAACGCGGCCAATAATGCGTTGACAAGAGCGGTAATCTCTCTCCGGAGAGATCGAGAATCATCTAGTCAAATACTGACGGGTGGAGCGCTAAATCAGGGAAAACCTAGGGACACTCGTTTTGGGTCTCGGGGTTGCCCGGAAGACAAATGTCAGCGGAACATGCGGGGAGCTTGGCTCTCGGCCTCTCTTATGCGTGGAGATGCACGGTCTGCGGCGGTAAATCAAGGGTGGTGATATTAAAAGGCCGCTTATACGCGAAAACATAAGATTTATTTCTGTTGGAGAGGAATGCGCGCGCGAGAAGGAGCTGGATAAAGGCGGTTCGTTTCGTCGAACGAGCGAATGCGCGAGGAGCGAAAGGAAGGCCAGACGAGAGAAAGAGAGAGAGAGAGAGAGAGAGAAAGAGAGACGGAGATTATATCGGAACGAATTTTTCTTGGCCCGTACGTACGTGCGCGAATAGAAAGACGAGAGTAGAATCCAGACAAGATAAAACTACGTACGCATGAACGCTTGTCATTGAGTGGCCTGGACCAATATTGCAATGCGAGAGACAGAGAAAAGAATGACCCTCGAGAGAATGGAACAGAATATAAAATTGCTAAAGAATACGTAATTTGCAGTTAATGTTTTAAATACTTTTTTCTTGATTTTAAGCTCGGTTGTACAATATTTGTTGTAATATTATGTGCAATATATTATTTTCTAAAGAAGAATCGAGAGATATTTAATTATATTAATGAATCGCCTCGACGCCTCTCGGTTTCGTCTACATTATTTCAGCACATTTTCTTGTTGCGTTATTATAATCCGGTTCTCGGATTGTATCCGTGTAATGATTCATTTTCTTTTGCAAGGACTGGCCCACTACCGCATGAGATTCGGTCGTCTCGGTTGATTAAGGCCATCCACAATGATGCTGTCACTAGGTTCGTTCGTGCATAGAACAGGATATTATGCACCGGTATCGGACAATAAGTTGCCGACCACAATGACTCGACTCGACTGTTTTTCCCCTGTCGAACGATCCGTAACTCGTTCGTTCGGACCTTGCCGCTACTGTACGAACGCCTTCGTTAATTCTTTCGCTACCGAAGTCGACTAACAATTCACCATGACTGTTCTCTGTATGTCAGGAGCAGTTATAATTGCTCAAGTATAACCGACATTCCTGGGCTCGCCAAACTCGCACGTTTTTGCGTGTTCGTACTTCTCTCTGCTCTCGTTTCTTTTTCCTTTCTATATAATTGCAGATATGTGATTCAAGCATCTGGAAACACGTCAAGCCTACACACGTAAAGCCTTTGCCAGAAATGCCGAAGATTTTTGCGAGCGTTTTCGCGCACAGTTACGTACCCGGGTTGCATCCCTACGTCGCGTCGTCCAAAGGCCAGGAAAGTCCGCAACCGAATCCTGTTTTCCTCCTCCATCTCCGCGATCTCCGGGGAGCAATAATCGTTGCGGGGCGGAAAAATTTCGCGACAGAAGTTAAACAAAGCCTCGAAGCAGAAATAAAAAAGCGGGGACGCGAGTGAGAGAGGACGGGAAGAGAGAGACGGAGCAACGTAGGGACATAGAAACCGGGGGGTGTCCCGGCTACGACCGTAATAAGGGTGACCACCTCCCTCCGCGGCTCCATTCGCTCCTGCCGCGCGGCGTTCCTCTGTTCTACTGTTTGAACAAGGCTCATAATTAATACGCGCATTCGCTTCTGGAAAACGCGCGCCCGGGGTGCTCGGGGTGCGCGGGGAAAGGGACATTTTTAAACTACGGCTTCGGATAGCCGCCTTTCCGCAAAGCGCGTCGATACCTCGCGAGTTCTCCGAGGGCTGCTCCGATCTGTATCTCTGATATTTTTCATCTCGTTTCAAGCTTTCCTTTTTGCGGAGCCTCGCAAATCCGGGATATCCTCTGCGTTTTCGATGGCACGTCCGTCGCTTGGATTTGGATTTACACCTTGAAACATACGGAAACAGGAGATTCTTATAAAGATGTTTCAAGATTTTTTTATGTTATATCCTATAATTTTTAATCTGTAGTTTTGACCAAATATACACTTTCCTCTTCTTTAGATGAAATTACTTGCAGTCTGAATTAAACGTTCGTAATTATTCGTCAATTGATTTGACTTTTGAGACTGCATCCGTTCACACTCTACAATTTTTCGAGTGAAATTTTTACTCGAATCATAGTGTCACTGACCACTTCACTCTATTCGAGTGAATGTTTACTCCAATAGAGCGAATTAATTCACTCTAAGACAAAAAGTGAAGACGATATTCCGCCACTAGGTGGTCGCCGAACTCGCAAGTGAGGTCACTATAGTGCGGCATATAAGGGACCCCGTCACGGGCTGGGATGGTTCTTCCTTGACAATCAGCAGAATATGCAAAACTCATATAAAGTTTTCAGTACTGCCTGTGAATATTAGAATACAGTTTCTGTAGCGAACAAACAATAGCGAAGCTCTCTCGTCCATGGATTTCCTACTGCTAGCAATAATCGACTAAAGTAAAACATGGCATTCTTCTTAGAGTTGGAGAATCAATCCAAGTAAAGAGTGAATAATGGCACTCTTTCAAAAAGTGAAATTTCACTCCATTTGGACTGGCAGTATTTCCATTATTTCGTCGAGTAATTTCTTCACTCCAAAAAATTTAGGGAGCAGAGTAATAAAATTGGTTCGCAATGTTTTAATCGAATTACGTTCCATCTATCGTTGGTTTTTTTTACGTATCGTGGCACGCAAATTCACAAAGATTCCCGTTCTATTCCCGTGGTAGAGTCGTGTGACAGCGTACCTGGCTCGCTTCGCGAGAGATATCCGTCTTTAAGAGCATTATCTGGATGGTCGTCGGCTAGGGGGACGGCAAAAACCATCCGCCCCCTTGTGGTATGTGAAAAATGATGCACAACCCCGTCCCCTAAACATCACCTCCGGAAAGTCCCGAAGGAAACGTTCGCCGTCGTCGTTCTCGTTGTCGTCTTTCTGGTTCGTAATCCGTGAGATCGTGTCACGGACGGCTCGGCATTATCGAGAACGTTTAACTCGCTCGCAGCTACGTGGCTGCCATCCGGAGACATTGGACATTTTTGCGCGGACCCACGGAGTGACAGAACCCAGAAGCACGAAAATTATTCTTTCCGTAATAATTATGCGAGATAAAGTACCGCAAATGAGTTGTAATCTATATTAATTAAACAAGATTAACGATGGGTTATAATCACGTGATTAAGGATGTTGGATAATTATAAAAATAGAATATTATTTGAACTATTATTACAAAGATTTATAAGATAAATCTCTCAAAGCTTATACATTATTTTGTTCGCAAGACGCGCTTGAATTATTCGCCGCAACGCGATGTCATTTCTGGTTTAAATATAGTTTAAAATAGTTAGCTAACGTTCTCGTGTTTATTTCTTGATTGCAGATACGCGGAGATCTATTCGAGAACGCCACCGGCAGGCATCCAAAACGCGCCGCTCCTCTGCGAAGAGCATAAAGGATTCCTGCATAAGCCCAGAATTAACAACGAACTGTAAGTATCTCCCAGAAAACGTATTTGCTTGAAATACATGTTGCATGCTGCCTCGTTACACTCGCGCGCGAGGCCTGCGGCGGAGAATCGTATTTCGGAGGGGAAAATAAAGTCAATCGCTCGAGGGACACGGAGAGTGGCTCTCCGAGGTTTCGGGCACTTTTCCTTGGCGGGAATTTCTCGAAGGACACTATATTATAAAGCGAAAGTGCGTGACCTCCTGGCACGCCTTTCTCTCCTTCCTACGTGCCTCCGTTCTCGTTCCTCGACCCCCCTGACGTGATGGATACGCGAAAATGTCACTCGCACGCCCCCGGGGCCAACGCGCCATCCAACATCCCCCGACCATTATGCTAAACCATTGTCCACTATCTGCCTAAGATAGCCGGCGGCTTAAGTCGTCCGCTTTTCCACCGTCTCGGCGAGACCGTTAAAAAATCATTTTTGCCATCTTGTCCCTTTTCCCCTCCTCCCTCTCGCGATGGCGATTCTCGTATCTGTCGGGAATATCGGCGAATATTCGCCGATCTCTTCCGTGAATTAGCACACCGCTGTAGTTAACGCTGTATTTGAAAGTGCGATTGACCTAAATATGAAACGTACGACGTGTTGAAATCGGTCCAAGTGACAAAAAGCAGATTACTCCAATTTTTTGGCCAGTGCACCTCTCGATTCCTCTGGCAGACAAATTTACATAAACGCAGTACTTTCAGCGTCATTTTGATCACATACTATTTTATCCTACATTTAGTACCTCTTACACCTTTGAACTCTTATGTTAGTTACGTTTAACAATATTACTGCATCTGTATCATTTTGTTTTATGTATGAGGAATATAAGATTACGTCGGCGGATTATTCGGGATGAAGACGATGTGGTAAAAACACGTGCTAGAGAGAGAGAGAGAGAGAGAGAGAGAGAGAGAGAGAGAGAGAGAGAGAGAGGGAGAAAGAGGGAAATTCGTGAAACGCTGCGTAGTCTGGCTAGTATATATTTTTTCTACTTCGATTTCTCCCCTCTCCTCCTCCTTTCATCGTCTCTCCTCGATGCATCCACCATTATTCGGGCGTTAGGCAAATACACAGGAGAGACGACAAGCTCGTCCGCGCGTTTTTGCCCCCGTGAAAATTCAAATGAGACCGCGCGGCATATTGCGCTGAATCGAAATTAATGTCGCGCAACTAATTATCGGTCGAGTCATCATCGCTTCGTGCCGCCCGGGCTTCTCTTTCGTTTTCGTATTGCGAGTCGCGTTGCTGTATAATTGTCCATCGTTCCACCGAGGGACAAACGATCGCGCCAATTACCGTCTTAATCGCCCTTGATTGATCGATCATTGATACGATACGTCTCGCATGGCGTATTTTTTTAATCAGTCGTCATGAAATGTAAATTGCGAGGAGCCTAGACCGCACAAGTGCTTTTTCACACGTTGCAGTTTATACTTAATTAATGTGTGTACGATTATATAAATTTCACCAGATCAATTAATAATAACTCGCGAGCGTGTAATCTCGGCGCTACTCCGAGGATAGACAGTTTCGAAATTATGGATATTAATAGCGCAGCAGTTCGCGAAATATTATTGATTGCGTACTAACGCGAGATTCTCTCGCGATACGAGGTTCAGGAACCATGCCAGGATCGAGCGAACAATTGCAAGGGCAAAAAGCTGGAGCCGTGGCACAGCAAGAAATTTCTAATTTGCGGTATAATTAAGGGAGACGATGCAAAAAGCATTACGGATTCTACGGCGTTGTCGGAAAATCGCAAATTCCATCTTGCAAATACGTCTCTCGTCCAATCGTGCTTTCTCCCTCTCTTTCCTCCTCCCTGCCTCTCGCGTTATGTTGCTATGGATACTTTGTTATAAATATCGAGAACTTCGCTGTCGGCAGCTGCGCAAGCATCGCCTCTCGATCACAATTGCAGCGGAACGTTATTTAACTGTTGCAGGTACAGTATAGTAACCGCGGACGAATGGTCGAAACTCGTCGAATTCTACGAGGTCGATTATCCCATTGTCATAAAGAAGACTAAGGATGACTATCAGACGGATCCCGGTGAGTACAAGTACTTTTGTAGTACAAGAGATAAGATAATGTGTTGGATTGCTTATTGGATTGCTCATCGATTGTTCGCGATTTAGACCGCAAGCTGGTTTCAGCTGCGACACTTTTAAATATCGCGATATACTATACGGATTTTTGAAAAATCAACTAAATCAGTACAAGCCAAAGATATTCGATTAACAAGCATGTTTCCGATAGATGGAAGCACATAGACACCATGTATTTGCCTCCTTTTACCGCTTCTCGGCACTTTACTCGTTAAACGACTGCCCCGACGCGTGCGCGTCGGAGATATTCGCCGATAATAACCGCGATATAAAAGTTGCGCTCGGTTCGGATCGTGTTTAGCGATATATCTTATACAGATAAACGGAGAACCGTACGTGTGTCGCTACCATGAGCTTCCTACTCCGCCTCTTTCCCCAACCTAACCCAAGGAATAATGCCAGAAGACATTAGCCGCCGATTTACATAAACCCTGCCTGCCTCCTCCTCACCCCGCCCCTTCGTCCCCATCTTCTCAGTTGGCTTCTCCTCCAGGCCCCAAAGTGTCTCATTATAATTAAGAAGTATCCTGAAAATTAACTGGCAGAAAAAGCAGCGCCGCGCCGAGGGATACGGCGGGTGAGACGGCCGCAAATGGCCCTCTCAAAAGTTCCTCACCCCCTCCGTTTCACGCGACGTCCCGTTCCCGGAGTGTTTACTCCTTCGACGTCTTTGTTTCCCCCGATCACGCACGATCTGCAGAGTATAAGACCACTTTGTATCAGGCAAACTCGGTACGGATGGTCGTCGTGAAGAATGGAGCGCGTACGTTCTGAGGGGCGATCGGGATTCATTCAGGTTCTTCGGGCACGTGTCGCGGCGCTTTCTCGGACGAGCGATCCTTGTCGGCCATCTGGCAGGCAAATTGGGTCCCGATGATGCGAGAAGGGGTACGACGCTCGCGTCCTGCCTCGTGCTGACCGCCGAGGCCGCGCCGGTGTTTATCGTGTGCGCGAAGGACCGGGATCTCTAAACATCCCATTGTCTTGTCCGTCTTTCGGTCGCGAGTGCGCCACCTTTTTTTTCAAGACATTTGTCAAGACGCTCCCCCGGTTCCCTTGGAACGGCGGGAAGCTACGCGGCCGCTGCCGTCCGCCGTCGTTGCTGCCGACGACGACATCTGAATTGCAAAACCCTCGCCTCTCGTTGACGGCGAATCGAATGGCCGGTATCACGGTCGGGACACCGACAAGTCCGCCGGCCAAATGGAGATGTTCGGAGTTAAAACGACAATTTTTGCGGCCGTGCAAATGCCGAGCTAATCGGACTAAGGCTCGGTCTCACCGACGTCGCTTAACTTTAGTTTAATTCCTTCTTTGTCTCTTTCCAATTGTTACTTTAGAAAGAGACAGACACAAATTAAACTGAGATTAAAGTTAGGCGACGTTTAGCGAAGCCGGGCCTATTCTCAACGCGAAGCTTGGCTGTGGTTAACTGTACGATCAGTGACTCGAGCAGCGTAAATGTAGAAGAAAAGTCGAATGCTTGAAAAGACGATTTAATGAATTTTTTCAGTATATCTCTTGTATTACATTTATTACATCAATTTTCATAAGCGTATTTCTAGCGTATGTAGCTTTATTGCTCTCCTCGGGGTTACAAATTCATTTCCACTCGTACACTCCTACATTAACGCTGCCTTAACCTAACTAGATACGTATTTCTAGCGTTTTTACCGAATTACCTTCGCTTCTCGATGTCAATGATATTCGAGAACGCGAAGCGAGGAGGAATTACGGACAAACGGGCGATTTAGCTTATTTTGAGGACGCTCGTTGCGGACAGGAAGGGCCTCAGGGTGGACGCGAGAGAGAGAGAGAGAGAGAGAGAGGGATTGCCAAGCGCAAAAAATAGGGGGTTGCTTTTGGTGACTGATACGGCCCTGACTAACGAGTCCTAGCCGGTCGTGCTACTCTTAAAGCCTCCAAGGATCCCCTTTTCTCGCTCTCTTTCTCTCCCTTCTGTTCACTGTCTCCCTCGATCGTGGAGGCACATTAGGCACCGTCCAACCTCGTATCAATCACCCGGCTACCCCCGATACCCCCGTCGCGGACCGCCCGCTCGCCAGTTGACAGAACCGGAGGTGACGCGATTGAATACCACCCTCTACGCCTCGTTGCTCCTCCGACCGGCTCGATGACGACGGCGAGATGCTGGAAAACCTAAGCGGAGGGAAAGAAATGTTGCCTCATAGCTCGTTTGTTAATGCCTCGGTAAAGCAAAGGCCGATCCACGTCTTAATGTGAGACATCGTAATCGCTGGCTGAACCTCGGCAATTCTACCTAAGTCAAGACCGATAATTCGCAAGATGTTTAAACAAATCAAGCGGTACGTTAATTAATGTACGCTAGAATTCGTTCCGTGATTCGTAAGGTCCGCTTTAAACCCTGAGGCGACTCTCATGAATTATCGAGTTTTGTTCTTGCTTCGGACACTTCTATTGAAACTCGAAACTGTCGTACCGCGTATTTTTTTAATATAATCTGTAAAATAGATTTTTATTTTTACTTTCCGGTGATACGCATACAATACCCTCCATAAGTTTGGAAACACCCTATATTTTACAGATAAATAATGGCATAGCAGCGATCTGTGCACATGTTTGGTATAAATATGTCATAAGTCGTTTAAATAACGATATATTTACGATAAATAGCGATAATTATATAACGATATAACGATAAAAATAACGTAAAGAGCGAATTACGTCTGTCTCGAAGTGCATCTCTAGGAGATTTTCCAGCAAGAATGGAAACGTCTCCCGACTGAGTCTCTGCAAAAGTTAATCCATCGCATGCCGCGAGTATGCCAAAAGGTGGTTACTTTGGGGAATCTAAAATTTAATTTAAATCTTTATTAAAAGCTTGTCGTATGCACGTATGTATCTTCTGTTTTAGTCTTCTTTAGTTAGATAAACACTTACGAAGCAAAATACATGGATTTTATTATGTATTTCTTTCATATTACACACTTTTATAGTATTTCCAAATTTTAGAAGGTACTGTACGTACACGCAATTATTATGAAAATACTCTTCAACATTTGGGAGAAAGTATGAGATTTCAAAGAATGAGGAGGTTTCTTCTCGAATCGCGCGTCCGTCTTCCGGAAGGCCGCTTTATACGGCAGATTGAAGTTGATTCCAGAAACGCGAGCGGCGCGTTGCCGCTCGCCGTTTCGTTTCTTCGAAACGTCGCTCGTAAATATCGCTTAGGCGCCAGGCGGCACCACAAATCAGGCGTGTTCATAGCGTAGGTACGGCACTGGTTGTATCGCAAAACCGATGAGGAACGAGTGAGCAAGACCAAGAAAACCGTGCACGCGGGGCAGACAGACGGGGGCAGAAACTGGCGACGGCGGTGGCGGTGGCGGACGACGGGTAGGAGAGACCGGCCTCGAATTAATATTCGGACGGCGATTTAGATTTAGAACACGAATTTGCTGATTAGTTCCCTCCCCGAGAATGCGGTCGCCTACGTTGCAGCGGACCGTCCGTCCTTCCATAAACGTGCGGCTAGGGCGGGGGCTGGAACGGGCCTGGATTCGAGATTTAGTTTCCTGAGGGGGTTGAACTTACCAAGGGGTCAAACGATTCAGGAGAGACATTTGTTAGCCCCCTGTCCCCACTCTGCGACAAGTGCGCCGGACACGTCTTAATATATACATCCGCTGACCAATGGACATGCCCTTATGAGCCGCGCTGCCGTGCGGTCAAAGTCGCTGCACCGTAATGGATACTGACTCCCGCTCTTGCAACTTTTTCGCCCGAAAACTTACAGCCCCGAGGCATGCCGCCGTTAGAGCGCTGTGCCATTTGATTAAGAATTTACTTCGACGCCGATCCCATTCCCTCGCCGATAAACGCTCGAGCTTTCACTGAACGGAAACTGGGAGTGCAATCGTGATTAATCACGCGTTAACTTCACCGAATGAGGTAACCTTCTCAACTATCTCGCGTGTTGAAAGAGGAAACAATTCTGCACTTATAACTTTAACCGTTTCGCCACGGTTTAACTAACTAATGGCACCTTTCTGCTTGTCTACTATTTATTTCATTTGCATCGCTCCGAGCGAGGATCGATAGCTCATTTTTTATCAACGCGTAGATATTTTCATTTTTTTTTTTCACGACAACCAATATATAGGATAAGAAAAGGGAGGTTTAGCAAAAAACATTAGCGTGCGGGAAACGGAAAAGGCAGCGTTTTCGCGTAATCGCGCAGGAAACGAGTAGAGTCGGGCAGGACAAATTTCGCAGGGACGAATTAGCGCATCCTGCCGCTGGGTTTCTCGGTGCGCTCCCCCTCGCTGCTTCTGTTATCCCGAAGGAGATCCCCACTTGTCCGTGGACCTACGGGGGGTCCTTTTCCTCCAGGATTAAATGGAGCGCCTAGATGACCGATGCTCGTCCTCCAGTAGCGGTGGAGTGCGCGGAGCGTGATGCGAGGGTGGAGAACGGGGGCGGGGAGGAGGATGGGGCGGAAAACAAGATAAAACAAGGATAAGGCTCGCTCCCGGATCCCCTCTTCCTAGGACGCGTCTTCCGATCCCGTCAGAAGGAGACCCTCGATAATCTGGAGGTGTCTAATCGTCTATATCGCTTGATTTAAACCGCCGCGTTTGTCTGCCGTCCCAACTTGGTCCCCTCGCGTTGCAGAAAGTTTTCAAATGGTATACCGTCGCGCGTACTTCAATCGTCGTTCGTTCCACCGTGTGCAACAAAAGGGATAAGATGAAATGACTCGGTGCGGCGAAACATTAACGCCGCTAATTTGTCATCGCCGCGTGACAAATTTTCCGACTAAGAAAAATATTATCTTTGCGTTCTGCTCGCGAGCGAGCTTGAAACATACGCACCGAGGAAAACCGGAGAGCTCGTTAGTTACGGCAGACACACCTCGTTGCGTGTTCGTCGCTCCGAAGCCAGCGATTTGCAAAGTAGAGGCGAAACATCTCGCGTTTAATTAACGAATTCGTTGATCATCGCGGAGTACTTGATCAGCGAACGCAATTCGCGTCGCAAGAGACAGCGTCCTTCTCCCTCCGCCCCCCCCCTCTCTCTCTCTCTCTCTCTCTCTCTCTCTCTCTCTCTCTCTCTCTCTCTCTCTCTCTCGATCTCTTCATTTGTCGCAGGGTGACAATCGCATTTTGCGGATTTCAGGAGAGACGCGTAATGCCGTTGAATGTCCTCGCTGCTGTTGGCTCGGTGTCATCCCGTAAGAGGATTAGATCTCGACTTTGTTGTGGTTCTCGAAGACGTTCGTTAGCGAAATCATTATTAGCATGTCGATCTTTCTCGGTTACCGCGATGCTGCGCGTTGGAGGCGTCTGCACCGAATCACGTTTCAGAGATTCGACTTGATTTTGGCTGCCAATTACTGGCGCTCGCTAGCGGGCGAATTGGTCCAAAAAATTAGCAGCTCGAAGTTGAAATCGGAAGATATATTCTACTTGTTGTCATTTTTGTACAACGGCTGTACCCCGTTTAATTATACGACCGTAACTAGCTTATTATTATATCAAGCACATCTCGACTGTTGGCTGTTGCTGAATTCAATTAATTTAACAATACAGTTGACAAAACACAAAGTCATTATTTACTCTCTTTTACTGGGGCGAGCAGTTCTTCTTTTCTCTCTCCCGGAAACTCCGAAGAATTCGAAACATATTTCGGGAAGGGTGAACGCTTCTCGTCGTCGAGTCACGACGGTTGGGGGAACATCAATCTTTCATTCACGGGGTGACTCGGGAGTTATGAATGAAAGTCGTTCAGCCCTTTTAATATAATAGCGAACCCGGTGTCTTTTCGCTTAACGCGCTTTCGATTTTGATCGAAGAGTTTTCCGGGGGACTCCGTGCGTCTCCTGTCTCGACTTGAACTTAATTCAAGTTCAATATGCTTGTACTTTCATTGCCAAAGATTTTATTCTTTCATTTGATTGTAGGAATCAATTCGAATTAAACGGACACACAAATAATCTAGTACGGAAATTCCCAAGGGATTCAAGTCCTTCGATGGCTATCCGCATTAGCAATATCTCGTTTCGATTTAACGTCCGAATGTTAGCGCCCCTTCGTTTCACGATTCTTCTCCGTCCGTCCGCCGACGGTTCGCGCTAAATGAGACCTCGTCCTACCGATTCGCCCACTCATTTCAGCGTATCTGTAATCACGGTGTAATTGCTTTCCTTGATCGATGATAATCAATCGGTCGAAGTGTGATTAGCACGATGATTAGATGGCCACTCGACTCGTCAATGCCGAAGAAAAGACCCTGGACATCTTAATTAAACGTAACTAATTGGATAAAATTCTCTCTAGCTACTTGTGTGATATATTTTGATTATCGTGAGCCAAAGTTTTTCTCTTTTTCACTGTGTATAATGAAAATTGAAATACGATCTTATTCAAACTTTTGCAAAAACGCAGATATTAAAATAACTTTGAAGATAATGATATTAATAAAACTTCTGCTTACGATATTTGATATTTTCTAACGACGAAAACTGCACTTATCGTTCATGTATTTATATTTCGGGGATGCGAGATCGCGGCGTAATTTGACGCTCGTTTGCCAAAAGTTTTACATTCGCAGTTCCAAGAGTTCTGAGCGCGGGCCGTTTAACCGGGTCTAAATAAAATCCGAAGGCATCTGACTCTTCGACTCTCCCGAAACTTCTTCCACGTCGACATCGCGCAAGTTTCCGCTCCGTTTCGACGCTCGTTTATGGTTTGATTGCTCTTCGATGGCACTTTAGGGAAATACACCGGGTCTTGTTCGCATCGCCCGTTAGTCTTACACAAACCGTCGGATTTTTCTGTATTATTTGCCAATAAAATAGCCCCTCTGCCGACTCGTCCCTTGAAACGCTCGCGCGAGAGCATTCTTATGACGAAAAGTCGGAAAGTTTATGCGAACGGAATGTAATTGATCGTACCTTGAGTTAGGCGGGAGATTGGCCGTTGTCGGTCGGCTGGAAAAGTGTCGGCCAGCATTCTCGATAGGCAGGCACTGTTTGTAGTACGTCTGAAGAGATTTGCATTCGCGACCCTACGAATCTCTCATTAGCTTAAGCTTCCCGTATTTCCGATTAAACCCGATAGCAAACGATCCTATCGCACGGACATCCCCGCGCCGGCGGGTAATTAGGAATTCGACGGGAGGACCTTCGAATTCATTTGGCGTGCGGGTCCTTCCGTCCTATCCTTCGTTACCGTTGCGGGAAATTAGCTGCGCGAACGGACGTTCGTCGTTCCCGATCCGCCCCCGCTCGCGGCGACAGGGCAACGATCAACATTTATTCTTCTCGTTTGCGAAATCTTCTCTCTCGCCGCGAGAGAAAGTATATCGAGCGCGGCGCTCCGCGTTAATCTCCTTGACTCGTTAATGGGCAAGTAGCTTCTTACAGCGCTCTCTTATTGGCCCCTACGAGCCGGTAATTAGCGGTAACGCGGGGGTGGAGACGCGAATTCGCATTCAGCCGGGGTCACGATTCCTCCTCCCGCGTTTCCCACCGCCGGAAAACTGTCTGAACATGACGTAACACTCTGAGAGTAACGCTCGGATACGAGCTTTGGCTCCGGACCGGCCGAAGCGCTTTTTGTGCTGTCCGGCCAGCAACAATGGCCGCTTCTTACGCCACCCTGGTCACCGTATATTATTAATTACTGTATTAATCTCACCGGCCGTAAGCAATCTATTATACATGGGATAAGAGCCACCACCGACATCGCCGCGCCATCCACCCGCCCGCCCGCCCGACGCGCACCCTCTAACTTGACTTTCTAACTGCCGCCCCGGTCCTCTCTCTCGATGAGGGCTCGACGAGGCCAACGAAATCTGACCCCCGGGGGTGTTAATAGCGGCGTGGCGTCGCGTCGCGTTGGACCGCGTCAAGTTTAAGTTTCCGTATTGTTGCGGAGATCGCATGCAGCTTGATGTATGTATACACGGAGAGAATTTTTTCCGTAAAATTACTGTAAAACCCTCCAAATTGGGACTAGAGGTTTTAAATAAGAATATAGTTTGTATGAAACTTTCGCGTTTATGTATGGGTGTGATGTATTGTAGATGTGTGTCCGTGTGGTTATATAGGCTGCGTTTCGTGTTTAGATGGCGCACACCATCACAGGTGAGGGGTCCTCTTAAAGGAAAGAAGAAGGAATTATCAAGGTCTACATCGTGATGAAGCAAATATCTAGAAAATATTTGCTCTAAAAAATAATAAATGTTTCCAAACGCATCGAACGTCACGGTAGTGTCTTTTGTTGTTTCAGGCCTGTGCTCTGCCTGCATGTTAGCGAGGTTCGAACAGGAACGTCTAGAAAGCTTGAAGTACGATAGGGCGACAATCTACGTCAAATGTATTGACGAAAATGAGGACTCCAAGACGGACAACGATTACGAGGTAAAGCAAAAATATTTTAAATAAATTATTTAAGAAATTACAGTACGAATAAAGATTGTTAAAAAATAATTAAGAAGGCAATTTGAAAGTTCGGCACGTATGACCGGATGATCGTCACTTCGGCATCAATTCTATAATATACATGGGGAGAGAATTTTCTCTTAAAATTTATCCTGAAAATCATGTAACCGTGGGACAACATGGTATTTTGAAGAACTGTATGAGAGCTTTTTTGAAATTTTACCATACATTTTATTAGTAATTATACTTACAAGGGAACGGTCGGAAGTGTCTCACCGATTTCGATGCGCTTCGCATATGTTCTAGAGCATAAAAAAATATTAGATCCGTATTTTTTTAGCGGTTTTTCTCGACGTTTAGGGGGTGAAACAGCCCCTTGAAAATAACCGATTTTTTTCATTTTTTATGAATATCTTCTAAAATATAAGGTGTATGAAAAAATGTTTTAGACAAATGTTGTTTTTAAACTTCTGCGTTGAAAAAAAATTTTAATTTTTAAAAAATAATGGGGTGGGAGTAAATTAAAAAATTTGACATTTTTAAACAATGTGATTACGCTATTGTGAAGACTATGAAAAACAATAAAACGTTTGTCTAAAACAGTTTTTCATAAACCTTATAGTTTCGAAGATATTTATAAAAAATGGAAAAACCCGTTATTTTTGAGGGGCTGTTTCACTCCCTAACTGTCGAGAAAAGCCACTAAAAAATACGGGTCTAATATTTTTTATGCTTTACAACATATCCGATGCGCATCGAAATCGGTGAGGGACACTTCCGTTCCCTTGTTAGTATGCATTTTATTAGTAGAACGTACGGTTTTCAGAGTAAATTTTAAGAAAAAATTCTCTCCCCGTGTACAGTTACGTTCAATTTTTCATGGAACGATACGCTTTGTAACATAATCTGTTATCATTGTGACAAAACGGTAATGTCGCTTATTCCTTTTTCTCGCACGCGATACATGTAGTAAAATTGAAAATCTTATATCGCGTATATGTGCATGTACGAGTTATACTCGCTCGTTCGGACGAAGGAAATTTTGTTAATGGGCCGACGTGCCGAGTCATCGAGTGTCCTGGAAGCGGTCGTCTTTCCAGATTAATTCTAACCGATAACGGCGAGTTGATGCCATCTCACGCATTTCACGATGTAATAAGTATTATTACGTCTCTGCTCAAAGTGACCTTAAAAGATATCTGCTTCCTTTTACGTAGGCTCGCTTTTGATTCACGCTGATTTAGAAATCATTGTGGAGAACCGCGTTCAAACGCGACTAACTGAACTATATTCTTTCTTCTGTGTTCTATATTTTTTTTATGTGCGAAAGTACCAACGAATAAAAATATAGAATGGGAGAAGATATTTTATATTATATTCGCGATTACATTATTACATTATTTTATAACATTTATGTTAAAGAGAATATATGTATTAAAATAGGACAAACGTCGTCAATGTTTGACATACTAAAAGATGTTAGTCCTGCAAACGTTTATTTAGCTAGGCTTTTGATACGATCGGATTTTTCGAACGTTTGCCATAGGTAGCGTCAAAAAAGCCGAAGATGGAAAAGGCACGTCCGTCACGAAGTAGGAGAAAATTAAAAGGATCTCACGAGCTCAAAGTGTCTTCTGAGATTACTTTGAAAGAACTCAAAGTAATGGTAAGTGTTTTGTTAATATATTTATGTACTGCGATATATGTGACTGATTTAAAGCTGGTATTTATGTAATGATGAAGGCTTAGTATAGCCGAAACGTCTATTAATTCGAAGAATAAATTAATTGTAAATTTTTTAAAATAACATCTATTAAGGCTCGTCAATATGGCCTGTTATTAGTTTATATTTGTTTTTACAAGATACGAGCGGAAGAGTCACTCTCTTATTATAATTAATATATTTAGTTGTAATTTAGTTGTAATACCAATTTTGCTACTTACGAGATAAAAGACAAGTATCCGGAAATATATAAAAATGACACGGCGTGATGTGTCTTGAATTCCGGATTCAATTTCAGATTTCTTTCGTCCTATAGAAAATTGCATCCGACGTAGATCTAGAGGGGTGCAAAAATTATGAGTAGCGGCGCGGTGACAATTGCTCGCGTGAAAGAAATCGGAAAAAGTCCATCCGATATCTTGATCTGTTTGCGCTCGCCACCTGCCGAAAGCGGACCCGGGATAATCAATCAATTTGCGGCGCAAGTATTTTACGGCGCGGTCTTATTGTTCGAACCGAAATGGGACGAGACGCGAGCGCCCGAAGCCGGCCGCTACCCTCCCGGCCTGGCTATCTCTCGGTCCGGTTGTCCGTTCTCCGACTCGTGCTGGACGAAAGAGTAGTAAAGCGTAGTTATGGCTGGTTAGCATATGCTCGGGCCCCGGCAGTGTGCTTAAACTATTAAGCGTATTTATATTGCGAGGCCGTAGCCATCTCCTCCTCCTCCTCCCCCTTCTTTCCGGCGGAGCCACTGGCAAAAACCCGAAAGAGCATAAACCTCGCGCTAATAACAGGTCTCCAACTTCTCCACTCCACTTCACTCCACTTCGCTCCACTCAACCTTCCATTTGACTCTTTCTCCCGGCTCGGTCTTTCTCCCTCTCTCTCTCTCTCTTTCTCTCTCCCTCCATCTCGCGCGCGGAGCTCCTCTCTATCTGTTCACCGAGCTCTCCTTCGAGCTCCAATTTTTCTTCGTGCCTCTTTCACCCCGTGTGGAACACACGTCCCCTTTTAATACCCGCCCGCGAGAGCGGCTGTCGGCGTCAATGGAAATACGAGACCCCGATCTCTTCTTCTTCTTCTTCTCATTCATTGTCGCTTTCCGTGTCTTTCGACTTGATTTCGTCTCTCGTTTGACGAAAGTCAATAATCAAAATAAGTCGTTCGATCGAGCCGAGATCGTCGTTTTAGCTGCTGCAATTCGTAGGAGCGAAATCTCATCAATAATGTTGGGAGGGAAAAATGATACACTTTGAAAGCGCGCAAAGGACGTTTTTGTCCCATTGGAAAATCCCGCGGCGTCACGATTCAAGGGTGTCACTGTTTGCGGATTGGTTCTCGCACGTTTGACAAAAATGCGGGCGAGTCACGCCGCGCGCTCGTTGTCTTTTTTTTACCGTTGTGCAAAAAAGCCGCCAATAAAAATGTTTGAGTTTCATGGTCGAATGCAGTTATGTCGCGGAGCTAGCGGGCAAGCAAATCGGGACAATAGCGGCTACCGCTGATCTTCGCCGGCGCGCGGGCAGGCTTTACGTAATCGCGGTGTAACGCCTATGAAGTGTGGCTGCCTGTAAATATTACTTTCCAGCACATTCCGTGTCACCAGTTCCATTTTTTTCCCCCGCGCCGTTCGGTACCGCTCGATCACCTTTCTTACTCTCGTTGCGCCGCGGCACGGACGCCATGGCATCGGGACGAAAAAACGTTCGTCCACGCGGATAGCTCGTTCCACGGGAAAATTACGGCCGGCAAAAACGCGGCCGAACGGCCGCGTCGGATTTTTCACGGGTAGATTGGAAAGCAAATCGTAGAAGTCGTTGAAGAGAGAGTGAGAGAGAGAGAGAGAGACACAGGTCCTAGGGAGCTCGCGTTATCAATTGCAGCTGTCGAGATTATATCCGTGAGGTAATCCGTCGTCGCGGTTCCGGCTCCTGATGAGTGGCGGATCCTTTCTCCGTCGGGATACGTAAATATCAAAAGTTGCTCAACCCCGGGGGCAGTTTGGCCTCCCGCCGCCGCTTCGCAACCTTGTTAAATCCACCTCTATTTATCGCGCTCGTTGGGCGCCTTCCTTTAACGAGGAAGCCTCGAGGTTCTCTGACCCTGATCACCTCTTCTTGCACTCCTCGTGCCCGTCGCTCTCTCTCACACACTCTCTCTCTCTTCTGTTGTACAAAGTCCGGCGAGACATTTACGACATATGAGGATAACGCACACTGTCGATCGAGCGACGATAAAATCCGCGACGACCCGTGCCTCCGTTTACGTTATTTCAACGGGGAATAATTTGACGAAAAGTGATTGTTGCACGCCCAAACACGCGCGATGCGAGCGCAATCGTGCGTACGCTCGTAATCGTCTTTTTGTACACCCTAGCCCGCCCCCTCGGTCGCTTCCCGGCGCCCTCGCGGTGCCTCTCCTCTCGTTCCTCCACCCGGGCTCCTCCTTGGCTCGGCTCGGTTCAGTTCGACTCGACGATCGTAAAACAGAAACCGAGATACACGTTCTCGCACCGACGCCGAGGACAAGCCAGCGCGGCGCAAGCTATCCCTCCACGCAACATTACGCGGGTTCCACAAATTAAGCAATTACCGAGGCTCACGCTCGTCTCTCGCGCACTCTACCACTTCTAGAATCTCAAATAGCCCGCCCCGCATCGTTTTTCCGCACGGCCGCAAACTTCGCTCTACGAGCTACCTTTCGCGTTCGTGTATTGAAATACATTTCAGGTGTCTTCGGGCGTAGCCAATCCTGACGGGAAACAAAAGCGTACGTGTTGTCGGCTTCTTAACGGAAGTAATCACGTACCTTTACGTTTCGTCTGAAAAGACTAATTATTTACGCTCGATCGACATATTCATTTGAAGAAGAACTTAGAGACCGATGAAATTGTTTTCTCTTGTTTAATTGTATCGCGGTTTAATTTCATTCGGTATAAGTAAGATGAAATTCTGCCTTTTGTTTCAGACGATGCAGATTTGCGGGGCTGGGCCGTACGATCAGCATTTAATGCTAGGAGAACACGAACTCATCGACGACAATTTGAGCCTGGCCGCACTCGGAATATTTCCTGGAGCTTTACTTACGCTAAAGGTAAGTTTCGATTTCACGCGCGTGTTTACGCCCGCTATATTTTTCTCTCGTCATTTTGATTCTTTTATCTCTAATCTATCTTTTCTATAACGAAGATTCAAGCCCGATCTAAAGTCCGATTTTAGAATCGTTATGTGATTGCCCTACACTTGAAAAGGACCGGAATTCACGGTCGAAACGCTATGTTTTTAACAAAGAAACACTTTTGCCAGTTGCGTCGAATAATTTCTTAACCTTTGTTGTTTTATTCACTGACGAAGAAAAAATTTTCAACTTCATATGTTTTATCTTTTTTATGTCTGAATTTTACAAGTTGAGCACAGATCGAATCGGGAGAAACAAAAGTTGTCGCCAAAATGAAAGAAACTACTTTTCGACAATCTGATCGATACGAGTCTTTTTTGTAAAATAAAATTACATAGTGTAGGAAAATTGATAACCGACACAACTGGCTATTTCAATTAGAGACAATTTATTGCGAAAAAATATCACCTCGGCCAGGGTTTGGACCTGGACTTTCCTACACTCTAGACCGGCGTCCCACCAATTCGACCACTGAGGAATATTATTATATAATTATAAGAATTCAGGGACATTCCGTGCGCGAGTGTCCTCGAGCTCAATCAAGCGTACGCTTATTAAGTTTACGTTATTATAAATCTGCTTTCACACGCGGCGGCACGCATTGATGCGTGCTGATCTCTTCGTAAATAGAGAGTAAAAGCACTTGGGATTCTACGCTTTATCGTTTAATGTTTTACGATTCATTCGGCGCGCCGCCTCGATGGTCCGCAGCGACGTCTTGATCGTCGTTACAACGATACGTTTGTTCCGCCTGACTAGCGGACAGTGACAAACAGATGCAATTTAGATTTAAGATCTAGCCACTGTTTCCCTTAAGTTCGAGACAATGGATAAGTAACCGGGGCCGGCAATGGCCTCCCAGATAACGACGCCAAGAGCAGCGTTTTCGCGCCGGGATTAACCGAAAATGCCTTATTTGAGATTAGAAGTGTTAACTGCCGTGCCTTCCCGCAGCCTCGGGAGAGAGTGAAGTCGTTAGAAATTGCAGCTTATCCCGAGAAGGAGCTTATACTCCGGCGAATCTACCTGCTACTTCCGCCGGTGTGCAAGCGCAAATGAACGTTACAACTCGTTGTAATATTCTTTGCCGATAAATTGCAAGAAAGTCTTACAGTTCGCGGAACGTTATCGTCGTTAACTTGCAACTTGATCGCCAATCGGGCCCGGGCGTCCGACTTGACTTTATACGTGAGAAACGCGCGACAATGATATCGCGTCTACACGCTTATCCATGCCACGTTGTTTTCGCACTCCTCGTGCGGAACGCGCTGTCCAACCCTCGCGGGTTTTTGCCGAGAGCAGCCGTCTGCGAAACGGCGCGGCGTCGCGGAGAAAAATTCTCGGTGCTCTCTCGTTCGGCGGAATAATTCCAGGATTCCGATACATTCCTCGGTTCACAGTCGACTAACTTTATGAAAGCAACCGGTGAGCTGAGCGAGCGAGCGCTCGGCATCAGCGACAGAAAGTCTCAAAACCGTTAACCCAAGTCGCGCTATCCTACGTTCGGGAAGAACAAAGAGGGCAAGGGGGGAAAGGGACGGAGAAAGAGAGAGAGAAAGGTAGAGGAGACGCGGCCTCCTCGCTGGACTGGTTCACCGGTTGCGGTTGCACTAGCTGCGAATTCTAATTGCTATCTTGCCTCGGAGAATCCAGTTTAGTCAACCTGCCGACGTTTCTACCGATTGAAACGCTCCGATGGGTTTTGCGGTTTCCAGAAAAATTTCTTCCCGCATCCCATCGCGCTGATTACCGTCGACGTGACAAAGTTTTACGACAAATGGCTTATCATTCTCCTTCCCCCCTGTTTTTTTTTTTTCGAGCAATATAAGTCCGATCGAATCGGCCGTGATAAAAGTGTTTAACTTTCGCTCTGCGTTTTGTTCTCACACGGATCTCGCGGTTGGTGTAATTGCTCCGGAATTCTATATGTATACCGTACGAAACGGCAGGGGACTGTCGATTCTCGTGGTCGGAATATAACGACGGTGATAAATCCCAAGGCACGTCTAGCTGCTTTTAACTATCGTTAACCATAACGTGACTGAAAAGTACATAACGGGCGGGTAATTATTTGCGGTTATGCGAACAACCGTGGGCCGACTGCCGATGTGCAAGAAGCTCCCTCGAGAACGAGATTGTTTCGCGAAATCTTCCGTCGTAAAATCCGCTCGTTCGCCGGACGACGAACTTAATGTGACTCAAAAGCATAATGTATAATCGCATAAACCGGAGTTAGGTTGTTCCGATCGGCTGTTCCCGTACTTAAACCGTATCGTTCAGGAGAGACTTGCCTTTCCCGGGCAATCGCTACGTTCCGTTTGCCCTGAAAATCCCGTCCAAGTTGCTTCATTCCGGGATATATGTATGTACGTGCGAAACTGTTATCGAGAGCACAGGAAATTTCAATTTCTTATTTAGTCTGAATTTTTCGAGAGAAGAAAGCGCAAGAACACAATGGATTCGGAGCGGCGTTGAGATTAAACTCTTCCGCGCTCCTCTCAGACCTGCCTCGCGATATCAAACGATATATCGAAATTGTCAGGATGCTCTATCTGCGGCGGATAGACCGGATTAAAGCGTTTCAGGCAAGGTTAGTCCTTGATTTTGCTACCGGTCCAGCACCGTGGCACGCACAATGATCGGGATGACTTGCGGCGTAGATCGGTGATCGAGTGTCTCGCGAGATATCAGCTACCGCTCCGTCATCGTCCGTGCAATAATTCAAGGTCGTCCGAGTACAAAGTTAATATATCTTGCCACGTATCTACATTATATCACTACCTTTTTTTTTCGGTCGATCCGGTCGACCGAAGGAGATCAACGACATTACGTCGCGCGAGGTCGATCGTCTTTCTCTTTTCTTTCATGTCACTTTCGCTCTCCCTACCGTTCCCTTTCCACCATCCGGTTTGTTTGCGCGCTTTTATGAGCGCGTTACACGTCATGATTAATCGATCTTTCTTCGTCGCAAATGGATCTCTCTTCCAAGTAGTCATTGTATTCGGTCTTAGCTTACGTGTGCCGTGAGCGTTGTGCAGCTTTCGAAGCTCAATTGTTAATTGCGACTCGGAATGAACGCACGAAATTCTTGACGCAGCTTGACAAGGCAGATTGCATTTTTGTTCGATCCGCGATTCGCGCGTACCTTTTAAACAAAAAAAAAAGCGAGCCGTCTCGCGTTAGAGATAAAGATATTAAGCAACGGCATGCGCCGAGCTATAATTAACGCGCGACGAGATATTAATGAAGACACGTACATTCGTTTTCGCTTTGACGAAATAAACGTCGTAATCGAGGACAAGGACGATAAAGGCGATAAAGAATAGCAACAAAGTTGTGCACAATGTCGGACGGCTAGGCTGTTTTTGATCCACCCTTAATTTTTCCCCATTTTTTTGCAATTCCTCGTCAGACTGCTCTTCATGGCTGATCGACCGGGGTCTTTAGAGTCGGTCGGTCGAGTCTCCAACGGGCGGCACCCGCGTTTGATGTCGTGTGACGAATGTCCGCGTTGGACGCGCTCGCCTTCCTCCTTCTCCTCCTCCTCCACCTCCTCCACCTCCTCCCCCTCCCCCCTCCTCTTCCTCCTCCTCCTCCTCTTCCTCCTTCTCCTCCTCCTCTTCCTCTTCTTCCTCCTGCCCTCCCGTCCCGTTTCCCCGCTTTCTATGCTCCTCTTTCTTTCGTACCCGCGTTTCGTTCTCGCGCTCTCCCTCCCGCCTGTCTATTCTGCGATCCTTCCATCGCGGTTCATCCCGCTTCCTCGTACAAGAGAGAATCCCGTATGACGGACTCGGACGAGTCTCCCTTCAGGAGCGCCAACAGAAAATTGGAAACATCCGATAGGGCCCGGCTGCCGCCGCGCCGCGGCCACGATAAAAAGATACGTGCCGCCGCTCCGCGTCGGAACCGGCCCGCAAAATATGCCGATCCGTCGTGGATCCACGCGGAACAGTCACGCGGTCGGGCTCTATGCGCTTCGCAGACCCGTAGATTTTCGCAATCCCGTACCTCCAGCCGGACGTTTCGCTTTAACTCGCACCTCGCCTTCGTCGACCTTAGAAATTCATTATTTCCTCGATTAAATTGCCGCCTCTTAAATCCTCGTTACACGGAGGTTGAAAAATGAAAGTACGATTTGTAGCAGTAACGAGCAAAGATGAATTTCCGTAACGCGATCTGGACGCGGCGAGCATACTTGCTGGTAAGTAGTAATTAATCATAATCAGCGCGCGCATATTTAACGACTGGTTTAACAATGTCGAGTGCCATGTTATTCTATTAAATGTGCACTTTTCATCGACTTACGCGCCGATTTCTCCCTTACGTTTGTCCTCCTGCTGGAAAAGCTGGACACGTGTTTATCCTTACTTTTCTTCTCTCCGCTCCCGCTCCGCCTGCTATATTCTACCGACAAACGAGAATCCCGTTTACACGAGAGGTCGAAGCAAGACCGTTCCGAGTTCTCTCCAACCAACGACAGTAAATGTGCCCTCTCGTGCAGGTAATGGCGACAATTATCCGCGTCGGTGAACTCGGCATTAAAATCGAATCATAACAACCAGGCCTGACCGGCCGAAAAGTTACCTTTCCGATTCAGTGTGCTCTTCAAGATCCATAAATCCTTATTGAGTCTTCCTGCATAAACCACAAAGTATCCCAAGTAATAACACTAGACGCGCACGTTCAGTCTATGATTCTTTCATGATTATTCTCGTTTCCGTTTCGTTTTTGAGGAAACAAGTACAGCAAATCTTCCATTTAACGAACTAATAGGGGGAGGAGGAAGGGTGTCTGTTAATGCCGAAAGTTCGTTAAATTAAATGTAACTTAGGGGTTTTACCATTTTAAAAAATGTAAATTTATTTTTTATGTAAAAAAACTTAAATACAATATTATATTTACTCACTTTTTTTGAC